TATTTGTAGACAGAAAAGCAGTGTAGTCTTTTGACTCTGGTCATGCATTTTTCATTTAGATTTCACTTTTTTAATAATAGACTGTATGATCAATCTCTAAATATCAAATAAATCAGAAGTTAAATTGAAAATGAAAATAACCATTACAGCCCTGCTTCGTCTTGCATGGATTCAGAAACTGATAAGAGTCATTATTTCTCCAAGTATCTGTTACACACATATAAAGTGCAACATCAACCTCACCCCTTCCCTCCTCCCAGCATTTTTGCTCAGCGGTCTAACACAGTGTCTAGTGGCATGTGGGACACCCCGGTTCAATACCCCCTCCCTCACGCACTCCGCCCATCAGTCAGATTCTGGGCACAGATACCTGCTGGGAAAACCAATCTATAGCTGGACGAATGGAGGAGGAGAAGCGCGGCCAGATCAATGTACAGATATTGATACACGCAGCCATGCAAGAAGACTACACTCCTTCTGAACTCATTCTCTCTCTCACTGAAAAGATTAGGAATCAAGATGAACTGCTGAGTAAGGTTTGTGTGTGCGTGTGTGGATGACAAAAGAGACACTGACACTGTATCTGCGTGGCAGATAGTACAGATAGAGCAGGAGAGGAGAAGGAGGGAGTGGAGATACGCAGTAGAGACACAGATTACCACCACAGAGCTCAGTAATGGTGTGAGGGGTGCACGTCAATAATAAATACCTCCCATTACAGCACGGTGGACCGCTGCTGCAGCCTGTAAAGCATGACACCCGCTGACTCCCTGATCTACCCCAAATTACCCCTGATGCTCTCACACTGAGCTTCTGTAGATGACAACATACACCGACTGCATCAAACACAGAGATAAACAGCACAGCTACGCACAGATACATGCAGGAAATCAAACATGCAGCTGCAGCAATGATTTCATTTCGAGCAAAGTACAGAGGTTGAGCGTCAGGGTTTGATACTTCTGAAGACTCCCTGTTGGGGTTTGGATTTTTTTTTTTGGAAAGAGTCCCCTCCCCTCCATCCCCTCTCTTCACACAGGGACGAGGCTTGACATCCAGGTGTTTTATAGTATTTGTGGCTCTGATCATCCATCAAGCCGATCGATCACTCTCCCAGCAGCTTTTATTAATGATCTTGTCAGGCAGCCCGCTCTCGGGTGCAGCCGCTTGTCCAGAATGATAGATCATTAGCTAGTCTGCCTGCTATTTATTCTCTCATGACCTTGTCTCTCTCCATTGTTGAGTGGGCCGAGTTATGAGAGGTGGGACATGATAATTCGCAATTGATTCCGTTTTGTTTTCCAAACACAAAAGTTTTGTCGGGGTAAAAAAAAATAAAATCATAGAGTACTCATTATGCAAAACATTTCCATGAAGTTTCGAATAAATAAACCTTGGATTATTATTTTTGATTATTATTTGGTCATAAACTTTTTTTGTGGCTTTATTCATGAAAATGATTTTTTGTACTGCGATAATCTAATCCAATCGAAAAAAGTAACTACTACCTAGAGTTACAAGATGAATTTGTGGTATTAAAAAATAAAACTTGTACTCTAAAAGGTAAAGAAGTCCATTAATATCTTCCCTTAAGCTTTATTTAGGTTAAGAAACTGAAGTGAATGGTACTACTGCAGTAGTGTTGTGTACACTTTTCATAGTAGAGTATAATCCGTATAAACACAGGAGTTAATATTATTTGGGTCATATATTGGTTTGGTAGTTCAATCTACGACACTGGTAAACAGACAGCACCATTAAAAAAAGCATTCAAAGTGCTTTTACATTACATGTCACATTCCCCATGTTTCAAACATATTTACATACTGATGGCCGTGTCATGCAAGGTCCATCATCATTTCACACACACTCACACTAGGGTTCAGTATCTTGAACAAGGACACTTAAATATGCCCAGGATACTTCAACATGTAGACTGTCAAAGTATCAGACTCACTCTTGGACTGAGCCACAGCTGAGGCGTTTTCCATGTTTCAACTCATCTGAAAGGTAACTATTGCACAGAGCTACCAGATTAATGTAGTGGAGTGAAAATACATAAATCTCCCTCTTAAATGTATTCAAATATCCCAAGTTGTTCTTAAGTACAGTATGAGGTAAGTCCACAAAAATGTTTATATCTGCAGCAGCATTTAAGCCACTTGTAAATATGCATAAACTTGAGTTATCATCACCTACATTAGAAAAAACATGCTGCAGAACATCAACAGACAGGAATACATACATAATTAACATAAAGCACAGAGGTACAGGAAAAGAAAAAAGAAAATAGGAGGAGTGATAGACAGAGAAAGAGGGGAAAAAAAGGGTCAACAGAGAAAAAGGCAAAGAGAAAGCAGAGAGCGAGTCAGCAGGAGTTTCACAGGAAAGAAGCCCGAGGCTGAGCCAGTGAGGTGTAAGCAGCTTCAGAATAAACATGAGCTCCATGTAAACAACAACCTGCCACTACAAGCATCGGTTACGCACCCACACAGACCTGCTGGGGTTCTGGATTCACTGATGTGTGTTTGTATATGTGTGTTCTGTATACTCAGGGTGTCCCTTGGGCTCCAGAGCCTTGCCTGTCATCCTCTCATCACTTCTCTCTACCAACTTACAACCTTAAAGCCTGTCATGTTGATCACGGAGCTACGGGCCCAGAGCCTTCTGTGATTGTCAAAAGTGCGCAAATGTGAATACTTGTATAATTGTAGCCTGCTTTACTGTTTGTGTCTGTGACGTACAGCTGACATGCAGTGTTTTTGAGAGCACTGCTTTGAATCTAAAGGATTCTGTGCTTCATTAAATCTGTTTGAAGTGACCTTCATTGATCAAACAGAAGAGGGAGAAAGGTCTTCTCTTCTTGAGTTATTCATAACGGATGGATTTCAGTTTTAAAGCAGAGTAATGGGATGATGTAGACTTCAAATTGAGTTTGAGCAACGTACTGTAGATCAATTACAAATCCTACATGCAAATGTCTAAAACAGTTTGTGACCTGTGGGCATTCGCTTCATTATGTAATTGATATTGTAAATGCTAATTATAATATATCAGGTATTATGTTGTGGAGTACATGTTTAAATTGTTGTGTTAATACAGTGATTTACATCTAGCTTAGCAGAGTTTAAGAATTTCCCCAGAGCTCAACTTCCGATGACCCTGATGAAGGCCACAAGCCGAAGCGCGTCGGTCTAAAAAGGTTAATCAAGTCGATCTATATACTACAATCGCTGCTGGAGCTTTTTCACCTCCCAGAGCTAAACTTAAAATAAACTGTAAAATCTAGTTAAAAAGCACTTTCCCTTTTTGGAACGAAATCCCTGCCCGTAGGTGTCTGTGAGCCCTGTTTCGAAGTTGCCTTCAACCAGGTGCATGCTGGGATGATGATTCTGAATATTGGGTAGAGAAAATAAAAGGGTGATTGAATGAACTGGCATTCAAACAGTGTGCTGGATGTAATAAAAAAATCTCAGTTTGAAACGCAATCCTGTTTCAAACGTTTGTCAGTTTGTGAAGGCGGCTGGTTCTTGTTATAACCGGATGTGTCCACTGTCTGAAGAGGAAGCTAAATGAAAAATCAACTCGCAAGCCAGGCTTTCATTAAAGGAATCCTGTGACAAATATACAACAGGAAACGTTCAAATATGACCCCCCCTGACATCACCTGCTTCTTTGAAACCTTTGTTGTTCTACGCAAACTCTCCATGCGTCTCCAACACGCAAACAACCACACCGGTGTCCCCCATAACCCACCCTGCAGGACCCTGGGGCCCAATAAGCAGCCATCTGCAGACAACCTCTTCCACCACGCTCCAGCAAACACAGCCAGGGAGGGTATGCACGTGCGTGTGTTCAAGAGAAAGAGAGAGGTGGATGTAGTTCAAGGACAAGAGCACTCCATCAAGCCAGAGTCTTGGGAATATCCACCAGCATACCCACCCTCCCCCTCTGTGCACCAGGGGGGCACTGGAACCCATCCTGAGTGCCCCCCTTAAAAAAAAAAGAAACGAAATCACCTACACTGGAGTGTATCTGCTACAACATTCCACTTCTATGCTCTTCAGTTCTGATTTTAACCCTCCACTGCTCGTTTCAGCCTCAGCGTGGCAGCCCTGGCCTTCCTTCCTGTGATTCCCAGCTCTGGCGTGGGTGGTTGGGTGGGGCGGTGGAGGGGTGAGGGAGATTTGGGGGCACTGAAGCTGTCCTCTGGTGCTCCTGCAGCCCTGCCTGCTCATCCATCCTGGCCTGCCAGCCCACAGATCGATAGCTCTGCTCTCTTAATCAGGTCTCTGGTGACTGTGGGTGGACAAGTGTGTGTTGGTGTGTGGACAGGGGTTGTATCAGCTTGAGATTACACTTGTGTGTTTATCCAGCCCTCATTTCTCTGGCTGTTTATCTCAACTATATTTTACTGCTTCCTTCTTCTTTGGCTTCTACTTTATCTCCAAATCCTTTGCATATCACTTGTTCAAAACTCTTTATGCTGACTTTTTCTACATCTTCATTTATGTCACAAACCTCTCTTTTATCATCTTTCTCTAGCCAGATCTTGTTAAGGCTCCCATCTCCCCGACAGTCCTGCTTTCTATTTTTTTTTTCTCTCCTCTCAGTGCCTTTTTCTTTCATCTCTTCATGCACTCTCTGCCTGTTCTGGCAGCGTGCCAAAGCTCATTCAGAAAGAAGCTCCAAGTCAAGTTGGGCCCGGTGTTGCTGCTATCTGTTTTGACTTGTGATGAGCACAGAGGAGGCGAAGTACTGGAGAAAAGGAAATGAGAAAAGGATGAGAGGTGAGAAGAGCGAGAGGGTTAGTCAGATGGAGTGCGGGGCATCCAGCTGTGCTGTTCGTGCATTGCTAGAGAATCCGCCTTCAGGCTCTCATCACACCTGTGTAACCACAGCTGCACAGACACACACACCCATACACACACATTTACATAGAGTTTAACAACACTGTTTATGAGAAATGGCAAACAGAAAATAACTACAAAACTCTACAATTTATCTAAATTAAACTTTTTAATTTTCAGACAATCTGTTATTTCAAGTGCATTACAGTTTATAAAACGCTGAGGACCTAATATTAACAGTGTTTAAATACTGATCACATTTTTAACTTCATCCTTGCTCCTCTTCTACCAACACATTGTCTCTTTTATTTGCTGTTGGTGTATTTAAGCATGGTTCATTATAATGTTCATATCACTCAACCATCAAAATTATCATGGGAACATCACCATTTTCACCCCCCAAAAAAAACATCTTCAAAGAGTCTACTAATGGGTGTCCTCAAAGCGCTTTTTCGTGTTTCAGGTACTGTGTTTCAGCACCTTGTTTGCATTGGTAGAATATCCTGTTCATGGAAGTGACATATAGCTTCAGTTCTTTAACCAGGAAACCAGCATGTTGTCATGGATATCGGAGAAAGTCCAGTCATGGGAAGAAGTGTCGCAGGAGGTCCTTCTTGTTGACCTTGCCCATCTGATTCCTAGGCAGCTCTTCCACCAGCAGCAGGCCCGTGGGGATGGTGTAGGGTGCCATGTGCGCTCTGCAATAAACACGGCTGTTAATGCACTGAAGAATGCTTACTGCAGAGAGGAAGATAAACACCGACTCAACACAGACAGTTATGCACAAGGACACACACACACACACACACACACACACACACACACACACACAACACTGATCTATGTGCACACATGGAAGGGAATACGCACACATATGCACCAACAAAAAGGAAAAACAAAACAGAAAACAATTGCAAAACAAAGGCTAGCCCCGTGGCAGAGTAGAGGAGATAAGGAAAAGAAATGTCCTTCATACACGCTGCAGCTCTCCTCTCTAATACCCACAATTCGCCTTCCAGACACAGACAATTCCCTTCATACAAAACAATATAATCACTGTGAGATGAAATAAAAAAAAACAAATAATGAAAGGGAAAAACAGAAGGCTGCGATAATTAAAAGTGTTTTATTTTTTCCGTTTTGGGTGCATGGTTGTTACGTCAAGTCTTGAAGCCTGAAGCATTTCTATTATCTTCTAACCTAGTTTGTTTGTTTGTGTCTGCGACTGTGTGTGTGTGTTTGTTGTGTGCATGTTCCTGTGTGGTTGCGAGTAAGCATAATGACTCATACTGCTGCCATCAAGCTCTCCTTTCAACAGATGTCTCTGTCTCTCCATCTCTCAGAGCCAGTAAGTAAAGTGTGAGCGAGTACATGTGCGTACATACACCATCACTGTAATGGAGCTTGCTCGTGTCACCAATTTCTCTAGGGCAGTGTGTGTGTGTGTGTGTGTGTCTGTGTTTGTGTGTGCATGAGCATGTGTGTTGAAGGCAGTGCGGGGTGCAGAGGGTGTGATAGAGATTCAGGCTGACAGCTGAAGCCAGGGCACTGAAGAGTGAGCATTCATCTACTTGTTTATGTCTCATTTTATCTCCCTCTCTCTCCCTACAACCCGGCCTAAGCAGTAGGCTGTGTGCTGGCACTGCCTGACTGCTGGCAGTACCCCTGGCACTGTGTGTGAAAGAGTGTATGTGTGTGTTTGTGTCTGTGTCTGTGTGAGCAAGTGTGTGTTAACCCAGGTCACAGGCTGCAGCAGTAATCCACCATGCTGGACCAGCAGGCCACAGCAGTAGGATCTAACGCCCCCGCACCATATGGAGCCCACAGCCCTGACACAAACACACGCACACACGCACACACACGCACTCACAGAATAAAAAAGATGTGAATAAATGATACTGGTGGGAAGAAGAATAGTGTGAAAGACAAAAGCAGATGGTAGAAAATGTGGACTAATGTGATAGGCAAATTCAGTGTTGGGGGGCGAGAAGAGGAAAATAATACAAAAGAGCAGTGTTTGTGTTTAGTTTTATTGCCAATCCACAGCATAGGGACGCATGTTATATTTCATGACAAACTTTCAAAAGCCAGTTCTGACATTTGGAAAAGGGAAGGGGAAAAAAATGATAGTACCAAAGACAAAGTCCTACATACCAATCATTTGTCTTTTTTTCCCCTCCCCATATCCTTCTATTTTATCATTCGTTCAGCTCCCCTCATTAGTCGTCTTTGTCCTCTCTTTCTCTCACATCCCCTCCTATTGATCTTAGGTCCTCAGGTCTGGTCACCGGGGAAATGTGAGCTGAACTGCTCGGAGAGAGCTGCAGAGTTTGCATTAGAAGCCTTTCATTTGTTTACCACCAAACTGACAAAGAGCTGTAGAAGTTTTGTCCTTGAATCAGCATCATAACATAAAACCTAGACAGGGTCAGTGGCTGTGGATCAGTTGGTAGAGTTGGTTGTCTCTCAACCGGAAGGTCGAGGGTTCGATCCTCACCTCCTGGAGCTACATGTCCGATGTGTCCTTGTGCAAGACACTTAACCCCAAATTGCTCCCCACATTTTGGCGTGTGAATGTGTATAAATGGGATTAATTACTACTGATGGTCACTCTACACAGCAACATCCACCATCAGTGTATGAATGGGTGTGAATGGGTAGGTGTGACATGCAGTATAAGAGCATTTTGAGTAGTCAGAAGAATAGAAAAGCGCTTTACAAGCTCAAATCCATTTACCATAAATTTTGAAGAATTGGGATATAGGGGATTATTTTGTGTTTCAGGGAAACATTTTGTCCTCCCTGAAGCGTACTATCAACAGCTAAAACAAACGATAACATTCCCGCAGATACTAACTCATTCTCTACAATGATTGCGTTAACAAAGCTTCATTCTTAAAGTAAACATACTCACAGTAACAGTGTTATTTCCTTCTAACTATCAGGCAGTGACTTTAAAAGAGAACATGATCTGGATAAAAGTCTCAGTACCTGGCCCAGATCTTCAGCTCTGGCAGATTCATGCTCCGTCCCTTCTTCAGCTGAACCACGGCGGTGACTTTCTGACCCCAAGTGGCATCAGGGGCCCCGATCACAGCAACATCTGCAAGGGAAAATAAAACACAAGACATATTACAAGATTATAATCTGAATCCAATGATTTGGATTGAAAGTGCTCAATGGTATGTTTAATTACAGGGTGTTTACATGCATAAAGAAGTTGCAGATGTGCTTAAACCAAATGGACCTTTATTTTAGGGGACAGGCAAGAACATCATAAAAACTCCTCAGTCATCCTATCTGTTGAGCTCCATTATTGTAATGCATGGTCATAAATTAGAGAATTACATACAATATAAAAGAGGCTGAGGTGTTGGCCTACTATTACAATGTGAATGCTCTCCAGTTCTATCATAACAGAATTATTCCTGGTCCATTTTACAGCCAAACAGCAACAGAGCATTATAACCCCACTCTGCTTACAGTCTACACCTGTACGTATCTCTTACCTGTGATGTCTGGATGAGCGAGCAGGTGACGCTCCACCTCAAGGGCACTGATCTTGTAGCCACCGCTCTTGATGATGTCAACACTGGTGCGACCCATGATCCAATACACACCGTCTTTGTAGACTGCTGTGTCTCCTGTAAGACATATCAGCACAGAGAGGAAATAAGAAAATGTCATGGCCCATATATGAAAAGCAGCAAAATGCTAACATCTCCTTGTTAAGCCTGGCTTCAGGATATATAAGTGTATATAAAGAATCTTAATAGATATTCTTTTCTATAATCTAAAGCATGCGTCACGCAGAGAGGAAAAAACATAAAAAACAAGTTTGTCTGAAGAAATGGCCGGGGAGATGCAGACAACATGGATGGTCTGTTCTTCAGCGAGAGCTGGAGGTAAGATTTGTGCATTTTAGCTTTAACGCCTGTTAACAATAGCATGCTGCAGCACCAACATGTGACCATTTACTTTTTTGAAGTTACACTAATGGTCCCAATTCAAAAGCGTTTAAGCATTTTCAGATAATGCTAAAGCTTTCTTTCAATACTTGAGGCAGTTTCCAAACTGAACTTGCCACAAGACAACTAAATCGTCTGGCAGTCGTTTTACCCAAAATCCTTTTTGAGAAGGTGGGAACATTTAAGTGAATATTGATTAAGCTGAAAATAAAAAACAGCCGAAATGATTTTATTTGTAGTCATGAATGAAGGGTGAGTAAACTTGAAAACAAAGTGTGTTTTGTGTGTGTACGTGTGTGTGTGTGTTGGGAGAGGGGGAGAGGGGGGGTGCTATGGATGAATGATTGTTTAAGGCCCCCCCCCCCCACACACACACACACACACACACACACACACACACACACACACACACACACACACACACACACACACACACACACACACACACACACACACACACACACACCCTCCACACAAACACACATAGGTGTCTGGGGGACAGGTGTGGGGGAGGATGAGTACAGTATGTGGGACGAGGGGCTCAGCTGGGCCGGGGGATGACAGGCAGAGGAAATGGGTCAGTATGGATGAGTGGAGAGAGACGAAGGGGGAGAAAAATGGACAGAGGAGGGAAGGAGCGCAGAGGAGAAAAGACGGAACAGGATGGTGTCCTTTTGGTCGGATTATTACAGGTGGTGCGTCCACAGCTGTGGCCGAGGAGGCATTGGGGGTGTGTGTGTGTGTGTGTGTGTGTGTGTGTGTGTGTGTGTGTGTGTGTGCGTGCGTGCGTAAGAGAGAGAGAGACTATGATGAGGTTAAGCCGGTGCTGTAGTTAAGGTTGGATGGTTGAATGAAGGTGGTGGTCTGGGAGGTCAGCAAAGGTCAGGGTTAGGTGTTGCAGTACAGAACCACACTGGGAGTTTTAAAGCTTAGAGTATTTTTTTTTCACAGCACCCTCATAATAACCATTTAATTTGCTGGTAGACTGACTTTGTTTCCTATGGACGGGGACAGACTGCCCATTTCCCTGAGGCAAGAGTTTATGCTAAGCTAACTGGCTACATTCCAAATGGGATGATTTTAGACTTTATCAATCATCTCATTGAAATCTCAGGGAAAGGGTGCTGAAGGGTGAAATGCTCTTTTATTTCTTGGTAGAAGTTTGCACTTAGTAACTTTAGAATCAGCATTCCTCTTGCTAGGAAACATTTCCATCAAGTTTGTTTTTTTGCTTTTATAGACACTAAAATAAGTAAAGGTCTAAACCTGAAATATGGAATTAAAACAGAAATGAAGTGTCCCTGTCTTACCTTGATTATACATGAAGCATATGAGGGGAAGGATTTGATTTTTGATTTTGATTTTGTTCTCTGCCATCTTCCATCTGTTCTCTACTTCATCATTTCATCTGATTTGTTCTCTACTCTAACCTTGTATCCCTCCATCCATCTTACATTTTTTCAGTTCCCACTACTCCAGTGTCGGCCAAACACACACAACTATGTTTTCTCCTGTTTCCGTCTCTCTCCACCATCTTCCCATCTTCTTCTTCTTTCCCCTTTTGCCTCTCCGCTTCAGCATCAATAGAGGGCCCATCTGTTCCCATACATCACGCACTTCATTTCAGTTTATTAGCTGGGATAAATCATAAATATTTCATTATACATCACGGGCGGCTGTCGCCTGCACACCGACAATTTATCACCGCTGCCCTCTCTGCCGGCTTGCCACGGCGGCTATAAGCTTTCCAGTCTATTAAACAAGATTGATACAGTGTGTAAATTTAGATATTGGGAATTTCTTCACAGACCACTGCTCCGCACTGATAGGCCAGGGTAAGAGGGGAAAGGGAGAGGGAGGATGGAGCGAGAGGAGGAGGGAGGGAGAGGGAGGGGTTTTAACACTACTAACAGGGTAGTTACTGATTCCTCTATTCTCGTCCTCTTTTGGAAGAGAGAAAAAAAAGTGTTACATGCACATGATAAGCTGTTAGTGTGTCCTGTAAGTGTATGCATTAGCCGAAACAAATACAATAAAATGCAACACTTTTGCCGCAGATGTTCCAGTGCAAAGAAAGGGAATGGCATTAATGAAGCCAAAGGGGTTGAAAAGAAAAACTCAAGACAACATACTTGGAGTGAGTTTGAAGTACTTGTACATGACTGTTTGACCTTGTCTCTTTGAGGAGAAGGAAATAACGAGGGATAGAACAGCACGTTTGGAGAGAGGCACATGAGGGAATAGCGATTGGAGAACACAGACTGATAAAAGAGGAAAGAAGGGCGGGAGAGAGATTGCTGCAAACTGTGTTACTGGGACGCACACTCACAAGCTTGCACAAATACAAATACATAGTGTATGTACACTAACAGCACATGAATACACAAACACACATACACACACACAAATAGACAGACACACACACATACACAGACACACCACTTCAGACATCAGAGACTCTGCCATTATGTGTTATGGCGTCGGAGGCAGATATGGCCGAATGGCTTTCTTAATTAAAACGATAAGAAGCCTAATTGCACTGGGCTTTCATCTCATTCAGAGGCATTAAAGAAAGTGAAGGCACACAGTGTGGAAAAATAAAGAAATAAAAACAGATCAAGACTTCAACTGGAGGGTGGAGGGCAGAAAACTTCCATAATGTCTTTCAGAAAACAAGAAAACCACATTAGTTGGCTCTGCGGCAAAGTTCATTATGTTGCAGCGTAATTGAAATTCCCTGAAAAATTAACACTCAATTATTTTAAGCCATTCATTATCATTTCTGACCAGGAAAAAAAATGCAACATTGTGCAGGGAAGTGTGTTATCAATATATATATATATATTTAATTCCAGCTATGGTAAAGAGCAATTTTTCACAGAGCAGAAACACAAATTGCTTCTGGAACAATTCCTGCTCTCGTGTGACATTTTAACAGAACTCTTGTTATGGCCTCTATTCCTGTTGTCGTTTTTTTCAAGAAAGTCTACATTGGTGTTTTTTTTTGACTGATTTCATTGTGAGGAAATATGAAATTAAACAAACTAGAGGGAAAAAAAATTAGAATTATAACATTTATAAAATTGGAAGTGAGCATAACACCGTTAGCCAAAAAGAACACAATTTAGATTATACCAAGTCTACAACAGATACATGTAAAATAATATAGAATTAGACTAGCAGGTTTTATCCTACTGTCTGAATCAGGCTGGTGTCTCTTTTTCCACCACATAAACTGCTTGCCTGTGGCAGGGGAGCATCATGGGGGCTGCACAGTGTTTGTGACAGCCATGTTTCCTCATTAAATATGATTGAAGAATTGACAAGATAAATAAAAAGCCATGGGATATTTTCAATGCTTTTTCAAAAAATCATTCATGTCTGTCTTTATGTCCCACAGTCCTCTTAAATTTGTCTTATTATAGGGTGCCTTGACCCAAAAAAAATGTACCGGTAAGCTACACAACTATTCAAAAGACAGACACATACATACGTAGTCCAGGAATGTTACTTTGTTTGGATAAAGTGCAAAAGAAAAGGTCAGAGAGTGACATATGACAAAGGCCAACATCACAAAAACACTTCAGCCTTTCTGCCACAGGCATGGCTGCTGGAGGTGTCGCGAAGGAGAGAGGAAACTAAAAACCACAAAAACAGTTTTTGTGGAGGTGACAGAAGTCGTCTATTAGCCTGTCAGAACTTTCCAGCAATACAACAGAATTCTGCGGCTGCTGAAATAGACAGAAATACCTGTTATACGAGTGTCTGGAATTGAATGGGATCTGAGTGTGACCTTGATCTAAGTACCATAGTTGTTTTCTCTGTGTGTGTGTGTGTGTGTGTGTGTGTGTGTGTGTGTGTGTGTGTGTGAACAACCCACTCCACCCTGGAGATATGGCTGGCATGTATCCTCCTGTAAAGTGCACTTTGAGAGATAAAATGAAAACATGTCCACTTCCACATTATATTCTCATCCTGTTTCTGACTTTCTGCACCCTCAAACTCAGACAGACTAACAGTTTTAAAAAGAGAGAAAACATGTTTTCATCCATGGACAGAGTTTGGCTAAAAAAAATACAATTCCATGTGCTCAAGTAGGATGGAAGTTTTACATGTATGTGTGTGTGTTTCTACATTATAGAACTACATATCTCACGTGCTCCATCCCATCATGTCTGTCATGTCATTATCATTAAAGCAATCCCTTTCATAGCTTTAATCTTTTATTCTGAGCCTCTTTAGTCCTTTTTGTTTCGGCTTGTGAAAGATGAAGTTAAAAAAATATATTTTATGTAAAAATCGACATTCTTATCTTCTGAGATTTTAAATAGCATTATAGATTCATAACTTCCAAAAATCTTTTTTTTTTTTTTTTTTTTTTGGCTAATCAGTAACTCCCTGCTAAGCGCTAAGGCTAGCTCTTTAACTCAGCAGAATGCCAAATAGAGCAACAAGAAATTCAGCCAGTCTCACAGATGACTGGAGTAGATCCTGAAGTATGTGCTAATTCATAAATAGACCTTGAATCATGAATCCAGAATCGTTTTTAATCAAATATAGATTCTGAATTGAATCGTGAGACACACAAAGATTCTCAGCCCTAGCGTTTGACAGAATATAGAATTATTTACTGACTAACAAATGTAGTTTTTTTAATAGTCTGAAGTACATTTCTG